GAGGCAATGGTGCTAACCACCGACCTACCTTGCAGCCCATGGTTTGTCTATTCTTGAAAAAAGCATACAGTTTGGCACAACACAAACGCATTAAATACAAATATAGAGAAACACACATCTTGCAAGGCACTACAGTGACTGCAAAAACTATCTTTTTGGAAATGTGAAGTGTAAGAAAAGTACAACATTAACACATATAATTGTTTCACAGTTACTTTGTTGTGACATAGTAGAGTTGTCGTTCAGAGGTACCATCTTGGTTCTTGTCTTTGAGTTACAGCAAACAAGAATCATGTATAAACTAAACAGAAAACAGCTTTCACTCTGGGAATTCTGTGTTGCATTCTTTTCTAAAGTTATGAGACATCTGAGAAACAGATTGTCAAAAAGAATCAGAACTGATGAAGCAGAATAACATATTCTGATTTCATCCTATCAACTCAATACCATCCCAGCATTGCTGATATTTATTTGTTTAAGTGGCTTTGTTTACTTTCAAGCCTAAGTTACATTATGCTGCAAATAAATCAAGTTATCCTCGTTGTGCTTGTTGAGCATATGTTCAACTGCTCGTTGTACTCACATAGTTGCTGTGCAGATCCAAAACACAGATGTTGATGAACAGATCAATAAAATCTGGAATCTTCCTTATCAGGTTCCTGCTCAGGTTCAGTTCGTTGATCTCACACAGCTTCTGGAGGCACTTTGGCACTGCGTGGATCTCCTTGAAACTGAGGTCCAGCTGCCATTTACCATCCAGCGTCCGCTTCGTGCTGTTCTGAGCCATCTTCAAGGTAATAGTCTTACCTTTAGCCTGAGGTTTTCTTTTTTTTCCCTTGGCCATGCTGCTGCTGCAGGGAGACACAGAACAGTGATGGGGTCTGTAGTTAACAGCATCTGGGAACGTGACAACAGAACTGACAGTGGAACCCATCTACAAGATTGTGTTACCCACCACAGTTCAGCCAGCTGTAACTGTAGACAAAGTGTAGTTTTACCTGTATCCTTAGAACAAGCAAGGCTACTGCTGTTTAGTGTGAGTGTACTTTATAGCTGGGGCCAACCACAGCAGGCCAGTTTGTTCTTCTGGTGTTTGTATTTGGAAGAAAGTTTGAAAAATGACAGCAATGTTGTTGATTGATTGCAGTAGAGGATGTGATTTTCTTCAGAAGCCTTCCCAAAAAAAAAAAAAAACTACCAAAAAAAAACAGCAACAACAAAAAAATGTTGTTTTTTTTTCTCATCTGCTCAACACATATTTGGTTATATTAATTTACCTTTTGAATCAAATCAAAATCTATCCGGGATAATGTCGTCCCCTCCAGCTGTATGTCCGTCTGGGATGTTGTCATGGAGTCATGTTTCTGTTAAAGCAAACACACGGTGTAGGGGTTCAGCCGAAATGATGAGAAGCCTGGACTGATGGTCCAACACTTTTAATCTCTCCTCCTTTTCTCCGATGACAAGAGCTAGACAAAAACATACAACATCAACACATTGAGATTAGCTCAGCACATTGCTAAAATTAGCCCACACTAAACATAAAATAAATGGACAATTAGACACAATTAGTGGCGGCTGGTGACATTTTTGGTGGGGGGACGCAGTCCGCAAATGACCTTTTATTTAAAATCAGAAATTAGAATATGAGTCACATCAGGTACAACTATTTACAGCACTGCAAATTGTCCACCTTTGGAGGATATTCTAATCAGAATCTAATTTAACATTATCNATGTCTACATCTCAGCCTTGTTGTCAGTTAGGCACTTCTTCTGGCAGTCCTCACACAGAAACCTTTCTGTGACCACGAAAATACTCTCTGTTGTCATGACTGAGTCCTGGCTGGGTGTCTGCTCGGTGACGATGGGATTCCTGTCCAGGCTGACCTTCTCCAGGTTGTTCAGCCTCGACAGGCAGTTTGGGACGCGGGTGAGTCGGTTGTCAGAGAGACCGATGTAGCGAAGCTCCTTCAGCTCACCGATGGAGGCGGGCAGCGCCTCCAGCTGGTTGAGACCCAGGTAGAGCGTGCGAAGCTTTGCCAGCAGGCCGAGCTCGCTGGGGAGGCTTGTCAGACGGTTGTTACACAGGTTTAGAACCAGCAGGTTCTGCAGGCGGCCGATGGTCACGGGAAGCTCCTCCAGCTGTAGTGGAGGCAGGAACACAATAAGTAACAGACAGTATCGAGATATGCAACATCCACTGTAGTCTTCATGCTTTTTTGTTTTAGTGTATTGCAACACAGACAGTTGTCTTTTATAAAATTCTCATTTTGGATGATACATTACACATTCAACACCACAGCATGGACACAGTCATGCAGCTTAAACTGAATACCAGCTGTGCAATTACCCCAAAGCCTATGACTCTCAGAGAGCTGTTGTTACTGTGGTGTTTGTAGTAATTTAATTAACTGCAAATCTGAATGCAACATTAAAATCACAAGCCTTAAAGTGACATTAGCATAACTAGATAACCTTCAAGCCTCACCTCTTACACAGGCCTTTATGTGAAAGCTAATCTTTACAACATGTATTCCCTGTCTTCCAAATTACATGTTTTTTTCTTTCAGTATGTGCTACAGCTGCTCCTACAAAGTACATACACAATGCACACAGTTGGGACACACTACTTAGTCACAATCCCCTTTGCTCACATTTCCATCACAGCCTACAGTGTGAAATCTGAAGTCAAAGAAATGTGGAACAGCATCGGTCGTATGGAACCATTTGCTACAGTTAAGTGTGCCATCATCTGCCATCGTGTCCTCTGTCGTCTGTCAAATGAACTGCAGTCCGTCTGTGCTCCCTCAGTGGCTCAAGCTTGTTTACACTCATGAGAATCTGTGACGTATGTGACATATTCTCCGCTGTGCAGAGGATTGTGGGTCAGAATGGCCAGAAAAGCAAGTGCTGGTTTGCATAATGCAAAATGCTGCTGCATGCTGTGGGACATTCTGGTATTTCTGGCAATTTGCATTTGACATACTATGTATTGGGACAGACTGAATCTATTTCTGGCCTATGATATAGTGTGGTGGAATGGGTATTGAAATGTAGCCAGTATTTCAGTTTATCTTGGGCTTACTTAAGTTTTCACAGACTAATATCAAATAATACATTCATTCAATGTATTTATATGTTTACATTTAAGTATGCAATTAAGTATGCATTTGTTTTATTCATGTTGGGGGAACATTAATCTGATTATACAATCACATTGTGAGGATTTCACCTTTTTGAAGACAGAAAA